CCAAAATATGACCTTGATTATATCCCTTCTAATTTTAGAGACTATCTAAAGAATGATTTGGTGCACTGAATACCAATGACCGAAAACCAGAGGAATTGTGGGATGACACCAAGAACATCATCAATGAAGAAAGCAGAAGGTCATTAAAAAGACAAGTAAAGAAGAAAAGACAAAAATGGATGTCAGAAGAGACTCTGAAATTTGCTCTTGAATAGAGAAAATTAGCTAAAGTAAATGGAAGAAATTATAAGATAAAAGAATTGAACAGAAGATTTCAAAGAGCAGCTCAAAAAGACAAAGTCAATTGTTATAATGAAATATGCAAAGAGCTGGAGTTAGAAAACCAAAAGGGAAGAGCACACTCAACATTTCTCAAGCTGAAAGAACTGAAGAAAAAATTCAGGGTCAAGTTGCAATATTGAATGATTCTATGGACAATATATTGAATGATGCAGGAAACATCAAAAGAAGATGGAAGGAATACACAGAGTCACTGTATCAAAATGGTCGATGTTCATCCTTTTCAGGAAGTGGCATATGATCAAGAACCACTGGTACTGAAGGAAGAAATCAAAACTGCAGTAAGGAATCAGCAAAAAAACAAAACACCCACTGAGATGTTTGAACAAACTGAAGTGCCCCACTGGAGGCACTCACTCAGTTATGCCAAGAGATTTGGAAGACAGCTACCTGGCCAAATGACTGGAAGAGATCCATATTTGTACCCATTCCAAAGAAAGGTGATCCCACAGAATGTGGAAATTGTTGAACAATATCATTAATATCACATGCAAGTAAAATCTTACTGAAGATAATTCAAAAATGATTACAGCAGTATATTGACAGAGAGCTTCCAGAAATGCAAGATGAATTCAAAAGAGAATGTAGAAGGAGGGCTATCATTGCTGATGTCAGATGGATCTTGGCTGAAAGCAAAGAATACCAGAAAGATGTTTACCTGTATTTTATTAACTATGCAAAAGCATTCAATTGTGTGGATCATAACAAAGTATGGGTAACATTGAGAAGAATGGGTGCTAAAAGGGCAAGGAGGCCACATCTTCTGACCTCCTCTAACTGCACAAGAGGAAGACAGAATCATCATCAATAGCCCAAGGCCTTCCTCCAGCCCTTTTGCCAACCGTTCCTCCCAAAGCACCCACCACCTCTCTCCTGGGTTTGATAATTCACTGCAGTGGCCACACAGAACTCACAGATTATGGGGTTATTAGGGAAGCACCAGGCTACAATTCAAGTTCAGGAAAAATGCTCAGTCTCTCTTCCAGCCCACAGTCTCTCTCCTAACCGTCTCTCACAGTCTCTCTCCCAACACTGAGTGTCCCTCAGTATCTAGCTCAGCAATGTGTGTCTCTTGCATCTCTTTCCCAGCAACGTGTGTCTCTTTCAGGAGCATGTGTCTCTTTCAGCAGAATGTCTTCCTCAACGAGCAGTCAAAGAGAGAGACTTCTTCTGCCTCTAGGAGGCCTCCATTTGAGCCTGGCCAAACTAACCAATCATAGCATCAGAATTCTAAGCACCTGAGAGAGAGCAGGAACCTCCCAGAACATTGCTTTGTGTTGCACCCAACAGAAATACCCCAGGTGGATAACTTTTACAATCAGGAGCTCCTCAGTTGCTCACAGCAAATTCCACCATAGAGTTTTCAAAGACTTATGGCTAGAAAAGCCACACTAAGTAATTTACTACACCACAATGGGATTTCCAGAACACTTAATTGTGCTCATGAGGAACCCACACATAGACTAGGAGGCTGTCATTCAAACAGAACAAGAGGATACTGTGTGGTTTAAAACCAAGAAAGGAGTGTATCAGGGTTGTATCCTTTCACCATAGTTACTCAGTCTGTATGGTGAGTAAATAATCCAAGAATCTGGACTACATGAAGAAGAACATGGCATCAGGATTGGGCGAAGACTCATCAACAACCTGCAACATGCAGATGACGTAACTTTGCTTGCTGAAAGTAAAGATGACTTGAAGCACTGACTGATGAAGATCAAAGACTACAGTCTGCAGTATAGATTATACTTCAACATAAAGAAAACAAAAATCCTCACAAATGGACCAATAAGTGGCACCATGATAAATGGAGAAAACATTGAAGTTTCCAAAGATTTCATATTACTTGGTTCCACATTCAACACCCATGGAAGCAGCAGTCAAGAAATCAGACA